AGGCAATATTATCGCTTATCGCAATAGTTTTTGAGACAATTAATCGCCCAGCAAAATTTGTTATCGTGACAGGCCTAGTTCTGACTGTTGGTGAGCAGGACGTTGGCATGCTCTGAAACTTTCACTTCTTTTCATCAATGTATAACTGTAATCTCTTCTKACTTTCTTGTGTTTATTTTTTGTCTGTGTACGTGTTTTCAATAACCAAGAGTTGCGTTTTGTTACCTGCTTTCAAGGCGCAAGAAGAGGAAGAGGTAGGACAGGAGCTCACGCTGCACCGCTATCCTTTCTTGTCAAATGCATGTCCTGTAGTCCTTCTGTCACGTGTTGCTGCTGCTCCCGGCAGTGCTGGTTGTGGGGATGTTTGTGGTAGCAGGTGTGTTCGGTCAGGCGTGGGCATCCATAGATCAATGCTTCCCTGTGGTTTAGGTGATGTGCATGAGGTATTGGCATAATGGCTAATCTTCGGGGTTTCACAGGGTCTTAAGGCGAAGGTGCCTCTCCTTATTTGGGCTTGCTAATCCATTAATCCGTCGTAGTTTATGTCTTCCTTGTCAGTTACTGGAATTATCAGTGCATTGAACCAGAGGCATCCTTTCTAAACCCCCACGACTTGTTGTTAAAATGTCTTTTAAAGTCTCATGCTGACACGCAGGTATGTTTACCTTCAGTTTAACTTTGCGGACATGGCAGTTCACCAGGCGATCCACACCATAGAGTACTGTCTGGGCTGCATCTCCAACACGGCTTCCTATCTGAGGCTTTGGGCCCTCAGCCTGGCTCATGCACGTAAGGCACACAGGCTCAACACATATATCTTAGGGTGAACTTAAAACTGAATTTTGATTGAAAATWCTTCTAACATGTTGACTCTGTTTGATTTAACGCTGGGTGTAACAGAGTTGTCAGAGGTGCTGTGGTCCATGGTGATGCGTGTCGGCCTTTCRACTAAAGGCTTCGCAGGCTTCATCGTCGTGTCCCTCGTCTTTTTCTTCTTTGCTGTTCTCACAGTGACTATTCTTCTCATTATGGAAGGCCTGTCAGCCTTCCTGCACGCACTTCGACTGCACTGGTAAGTTTCCAGTACTCTGTACTCATCATTATTATTTAGRGTTTTGCCTAATGTGTTGCTGTTGAGCTTCTGTTTCTGACTCGTCACATCGAACTGAGGATTAGGTCAGATTCCTGCTTTTTATGCTACATTTTGATGATCGTCCTGATTTCATGAGTTCCAGAGATATGCCTCGATTTGTCTCATTAATCAAGATAACTCGTTGATGTTTCATCTGAATCCTATTTTTAGTTTCTTCTAATGATGAATTGTTGACATTATAAAGAGGAAACCTCAAAGTATTCTGATATTCAGAGATTTATAGTAACTAAGTACATTTACTTTTTACAGTACTTAAGTAATTCCTTTTTGAGGATTTGTAATTTTACCAATTATTTTTTTAAGTCGTGACTTTTACTTTTGTTTCGTTACTTTTAAAACCTAAAGATAGTACTTTTACTTCTTTACTTTAAAGTTAAACACTCGTTGCAAATTAAATCTGTTTGAACTCATCATGAAAGGACTTGTTCATGTGCTCTAAAAAACAAATTAAATGTTGTATTTACTCAACCAAATCATGTCAACTATTTCCACTAAACCTAGTAGAGTAAATTTGAGGCAGTATAAATATTTTATTTTAACGAAATTGACCAATTTACTCAACTCGGTTTTGTGGAGCCAGTTTGGTTCAGTAAATTTAACAGTTTATTTGTTACAGAGCGTGGAAAATTACTTTTACTTCTACTTTCCCATTTTTTGTGAACAGTTTTATGACTTTTACTTGAGTACTTTTCTCATMAGTGACATTTATTTTTAGCAAAGTCATTTTCTGTGAAGGTATGTTTACTTTTATTTACCTAATTTCCCTCTGGGATCAATAAAGTATTTTTGAATGGGAATTGAATTGAATTTAATTAATTTTTTCAAGTACTTTATAGATTTCTGCTGATATTAAGATTTACCAGCTGGAAAGGTAAAAGCAAGAAAATGACAAATATTTAACGCTTTTTAGCTCAAAATCATGTTTTTATTGTAACTATTGCTCAAAAAAGGTCTTTAACATTATATTTCAGACCGTTAATCCAAATGATCCATTCATAAGGTTCAGATTTTGAAAAAATTAAATTATTGCCAATGTTTTAACCAAAGCACTATCGCTCTACCTTTTCCTCCACATTTGGAACTTAATTATTATTTTTGAATTTTTATTTAATCCGGACAGTGTGCAATTAAAACATAAATGTAAAATAAACATTTGATGCGTTGCACCAGATTTAGCCTTAAACTAATTTACATCTGTAGTCCCTCCAGACAATAAAAACAAATATAAACAATAAATAATAAAATATCTAACAGTGATGAAGCTAAAAATAGTAAACAATTTAATTTGTAATTAAAGAAACATTCCCAATGCTCCCCCACCTCACTTTCCAACACATATAATTAAAAAGTAAATTATTTTACTGAACATCCAGAAAAAATGAGTGTTGTGTGAATCCTGGGTTCCATGTGACGAGTATATAGATACCTGTTTATGTACAAATGTGTTTTTACGGATTGTACAGAATTCAGCTTTTGCCTCTTTGAATACAAATCTCTTGTTTTTTGTATTTTTTTCATTGTTATAAAATATTCTGAGAAGGTGGAGTTTAATTTAGAGCGTTAGCGCCTCCTGCTGGCTACAACATGTCAGAGCTCAGTTTCTCAGCTGACTGTCTTACACACAGACGTATAAATGAAGTTATTAAATAGGACAGTTTTTCTTATTATTAAATTGAAAATTTCACTACATCCTCCCCAAAAAACTGGCAACCAGATCCAATAGTACCAGTCAATAAGAGTGTGAACCAGTTAAAACGTAAAACTGTGGCTTCTAGTCATTTGTGTTCTGTCATGGCCTGTGGTCTGGAAAGTCCACGTCCTTTTTGAGGTGCAGGGTGTCTCTTTAGCTTGATGTGGTTCAACCACCACCACCAGCATTACTGAATATGATCCTGGTTTTAGGATTACAGATCAAACCAGTATTGAAACAAGTACATTATTATGGTTTTATTTTTAGAAAGCACAGGCTTCCTCCCACAAACTGGCAGAGGGGCTTTGGAGAAATTAGTTGTAGTCACCCCACCAAATAATCAGATGATTGCTGAACAATGATTCTCTGTTCTAAAAGAAAAATTAAGACATTTAGAGGATTTACTAAATGTTCTTGTGGTTTCTGAGATGGTGTCCTTCAAACCTTTTATCAATAAACGTTTAATATATAAGTATCACCAGTTGGGAAGTCAGTAGTTTTCATATTTTTTTGTAAAACTGTACAAGCTTGAGTGTACATAAGAAGCAGCACATGCTTTGCTTGTTTGGAGCTCTTTGGAGGGCAGTAATGTGTCTACTTTTCAAATGACGAGCATTCATGACTCCGTGGTTAAAAGGTCATCCAGCCGTCAACTACCGATAAACTTAAAAATAGATCCTGATCGTTTTTCTGAAGGAAGGAGTATGATGTGTCCAGCCCTGGGATCAGGTTCAGGATGTAGACATGAATGTATGCAGACTGGAATCCAGAACAGAGGTCATGAGCCGGGACCGCTCCGTTCAGTTTTACYCAGCTGGTCTTCCAGCATCACTGCTGTCCTGAGAAAAATGGAGCTAAAATGCTTTGTGGTTTTTGACTGCATCTTCTTTTCTCCCCACAGGGTGGAGTTCCAAAACAAGTTTTACACCGGTCAAGGCTTCAAGTTCCTCCCATTTACCTTCGAAAGCATCCTAGATGGAAGATGTGAAGAATGAAATAACTCTTTAATGTCACTTAAGAATCTGTGTTGCTGAATCTTTTTTTTTTCCCCATTTGTGTGATTAGATTTCCATTCATCACCATAACTCATCAGAAGAATCATCAGAGAAATTACTATCCATCAAAATGCAATCTTTTTTATCAGTTTTATTTAGTTTATTATTTATACAGTCTTTTCTTTATAAAAACTTGTATTTTTGTGAGAGTGTAGTACAAATGATAAACCAGATCTGCCCAGTGGTGAGTATGTTGACTAATTTAATACGATATAAGTGTTCATTTCCTTCAGTTTAGTGTGCTTTTTCTCCACACTCTTCTCTTGTTGTCCTGTGTCAGTGCTGCTTCAGTTTCTAAAACACAARCCGGTGCTTCGGAAACTGCATTTAATCTCAGGATGAGCTTTTAAAGCTCTAAAAGGAACTTCAGTCAACATGTATCTGAAAATTAACTCCCTCTAAGTTCATGTGTTATCCTCCATCTGTGTGATTATTTACATTTTGTATTTCTCTGTCAGCGTACATTTAGAAAAGAAGAATTAATAAATGGGTAATGTTTAAACAATCTGTAGCWATTGAAGTTTCTTCTGTAGCATCGATCTTGGTGAAAAACTAAATGTAATCTGTCAACAACAACGTACACCCGTTTGAATAAACTACAAATTATCACTAAATGTGCTTCACTTTCTTAATAAAGTGTTAACAGCTGGTCTAAGTTGTGGTTTTGTATTATTATTTAATGATGAAGGAGGTTTAAGCCTGTGTTGCATTTAAATTTACTTCCGAATTTGACCGGCTTTCAAAAGGTATTGCAAGTAGAAAATACCTGAAATGAGCAAACAAAACAGTCTGAAGAGAAAAAGCTCAATTCTTGTCTGGAAAGTAAAAACAAAAACATTAGTGAATAAGACCTGGATCTATTTAAGACATTAGGGACTCAAATAGGCCTTATACAGTGTATACTCCTCAGGCTACAACTCTGGTGCACATGTTGGAGCTGGTGACGACATGGGCCAAGATCAACATGCATAAACGGGCTTGGACCCCAGTCATAACTGCTTMACAGTTCTAGTTTGTTTAGTAGTTAAAATTCAGTCAAKTAAAATGTCATGAAATGTAATAAAGTCCTGCTGTTTTATTGTCTGTATGTCTTCCTGGAACTGTTCTCACCCCTCTGGGTGGTGCTGTTGACCTGGATGTGCAGTTCTGCTCCATCAAAAACTGTTCTACCCCAAACACCTGTTATTTTATGACAAACACAACATCATCTGTGAAATGACTCCCATTTATTTAACATAAATTCTCTAGAGGAGAGTTTGCAATCATGTTTTTGTTTACATGTTGCTTTGTTTTGTGGACCGGCTTCAGTCGGTCAGAGGTTATTCTGAGTCCTAACAGAAGTGCCCACTTGTGTTCCCACCCGTTCTTTTTCTTTTCTCCTGTTTCTTGCAGGGAACATTTACCTTCAGCACAATGTTAAACTGACATATTTCAATTTGTGGAAATGAGCTCTTAGAGCCACAGAGTAGCACAGGCTGTTCAGTCAAAATACATAAACATGTAAAAGTACACGCTGTGCAAAACCACTCAGGCTGACTATATTGATATATTGTAGTTTGCAAATATTGGAATATTTTGATTATTTTTGTTTGATTTTGAAATTCAGGTGTACGTTTACTTTTTTATTCTTTATAAATTAAGTGACAAAGTATAAAATCGGCAAATCTTTTAATTCTGGAAGTGAACTCATAAAAAGTGGAGCAGAGGAAAGTCAAAAACTGTGCCTCATCCTCTGCAACTTGGGAGGCCGAACTAATAAAATCTTCAGGAAGGAGGAACATCATGTTCCCCTGTCACATGTTTTTTTTTCCCCCAAGGAGGCTGATGGGGGGGCTTCTATTTTACAACTGCCCAAGGTAATAACACTGTTCTGTGTTTATCTTAGAGGCTTGTTTTTGCTCTGAAAAGCTCATTTAATTAGATATTTCCCAGTATGTCATGTATGACCAGAGGTGAGTGTGAGCTTGTATAAGAGCCCCTGTTTGCATCTCGGGGGGCTTTAACTCTGTTATAGTGGAGTTTCATAGCAAAAAAACCCCAATAAAACAAGTTTATTATTGTGCTCCTTTATCTAAAGCAAACACTAAGTGCACTTTAGCTTGGCAGAAAAATGTCTTCAAGATTGTTACAGTAGATTTTTTGGAATGCTTTTGCAGCTGTTCTGGTGTTTTTTTTTTTTTTTTAATTTAGCCACAAAAAAACAAAAGTTTAAGACGCTTTAGTTTAAAATAACTAAAAGCAGAGCTTCTGCAGCCTAAAATGCCTGAGCTATAAAAAGTGTCATGAACTGTTTGGATTCATGGCGTGACTCAAACATGTAGAACGTCTTTGTGAAATGACAGACTGGCTTGTTTTTTTTATTTTTTATTTTTTTCTGGAACACTGAAGCTGTTCTTTTTCACCCTCTCTGCCCATCGGGTGTCTAAATTACAAATATGAGCATTAAATCCTTCAAATAAACTCTTCAGGTTGAAGAAAGTTGTTTTATACCCTGAATAAATCATACTGTTGATTAAGATATTATGTGTGATCATTAGTTTTATAATGTTCTCAGAGGTTCTGATCCAGTACTGATGCATCATCTCATGAAGCCATGAAGGTCATATTTTATTGAATAATTATGGGTCAGAAGCGGGCAGTGTTTGCACACAAATCAAACTCTGCCAAAATCAAAAACTCAGTTCTCACTCAGAGTTTGGACCTGCAGCTGTCAGGCCTCCAAAAACGGTTGCATCACGATTTATGAGAGTCAGGGAGAGTTGAAGTGTTCAGTGGACGACCGACAAGCTGATGCATGCAGCTTTGAACGGTTCAGGGTGAGTTTGATACACCAGAAGCCACTTTTTTTACTTTAAAGTTTGCACTTTTTCTCTTTCCAATGAGTTTTATGTCAATATTTTCAGGTATATTCTTTTAATTTTGCTTCATGGTGTATCAGACTGTCAGGTATCCCTGATGTTTTTAGCATGCATGCAAGTTCCACGCTTCTGGGAAAGAAAGTTGCGTAACTCAAAAACAGAAGAAAAAAGTGTCAGTTATATAAAAAGATGTGACGGCTCAGTTTTTGACAAATGCTTTGCTCCTGGCTGCAGGAACCAGAACATATTCCTTAATGCAAGCTCCACTGAAGTTTATTCAAATAAAATTTAATTGTTTGTTTTACTCAGCAGCACCACAAATCATGACAAAATTTAAAAATGTAGTTTTTAAGATGGTTTAAGTTTATTTCAAACGTGTAAAAAAGTAATGGGACAAAGTAAGAACTTATTCCCACTCTTCTCGTTCTATTTTCTTATTTTAAATCACACAGTAATGATTTCAGTAAAACAATAATCAGTTTAACTAATAATTATATGACATTTACATAAATATCAATGGTTTATTACTTTTCTAGACATGTCAGACCTGATTACATGTCTTGTTTTTGTTGATAAAGTTTGCATTACTGCAAATATATGTACATCACCTTCACATAAATACACAAATCTATACAGAATTATGAATAGTACACAAATATATTTCTATAAAATATTTTACAAAATATTTATATATAATTTCCATTCAGCAGTTTATATTAATTAAAAGTAACAAATCTAAAGTTAAAATTACTCATCAGAAAAACATTAGAAAAGTTAGTTTGGGTCTCCATCCATCCATCCATCCATCCATCCATCCATCCATCCTGTCGGTCCTTTCAT